AACCCCTTACACCCCCTACTCTACTCCTTACCTTCTCCTCCCTCCTTCATCCCCTCACTCCTCCAGTTCCACACCCTTACCCCCCCCTCACCTCCCTCACTTAAATGCCAGGGTCGATGAGGGAGAATAAAAGATAATTATTTACTCTCTCTCTCTCTCTCTTTCTCTAATTGCCGTCTCCTCCATTCCTACTCCCCTAATGACTCTTAATGGATCACCCCCTATTACCCCCCATTAACTATCCACCCATTCTTTAAATAGAACCTTTCCCATTACCAATTTAGACATCGCCCATTGGTCACTTTCTCTTCACCATCACCACCCATTCTCTTTATAGGTCTTCCCCATTAGTCACCATCACCACCCATTCTCTTAATAGGTCTTCCCCATTAGTCACCATCACCACCCATTCTCTTAATAGGTCTTCCCCATTAGTCACCATCACCACCCATTCTCTTAATAGGTCTTCCCCATTAGTCACCATCACCACCCATTCTCTTAATAGGTCTTCCCCATTACCCACTCTCGCATCACCACCAGCAATAAAGTATTTCAATTTTTTACAAAGTTTATTTTTACTTATTTTTATTTTTACACAATTTTTTACAGGTGTTACTTTTTTACGCCAAGTTCTTTATTTACACAAAGCTATTTTTAGTTAGTTTTTTACACAAAGCTAAATTTAGTTGCTTTTTACACAAAGCTATTTTAAGTTAGTTTTTTACACCAAGTTATTTTTTCCCGGTAACTGCGGTAAGACTGGACGCTGGGTTCCCACACTTTCACCGCCAAATGAAGTAATTGTGATTCTGAACTTGGCGGCGCGAGAGACCAAGTCCATTGGCCAAAAACTTTTCAAATTCCCTCCATCTCAATAACCGGATTAAGCTTCTTTTTTTTTTTTTTACTTTACATTTTTGAGGGAAATATTTTTTTTATTTCAAAATGGCCGCCATAATAGGGTTGGCAATGCATGTATTAAATATCTTACTATGCCACTTTTGTCTTCACTTCGGTAAAAATCCTCATCATTTACGAAAGATAAAGGAGGAGAAATATAGCTACGAGCCTCCAGCCAAACTTATTTCCGTATAGTGGGAAAAAAATGAACCACTGATATGAATTGAATTTTCTAGCTTGAAATCGTAATGAAAAATGAGTAACCACTAATGAAATAAAAGATAAATGTTAAAAAAAAAAAATTACTTTAGTTTTAACTCTGAATCTTCCAGCCATGTTAGCCTTCGTTACTGCCCTCCAAAGAAACTCCAACTACGATACATTTTATACCTACAAACGCTAATTTAACTAACCTAAAAACACCCCCATGCTTTAAAAATATACAAAACATTAATAAAACGAAGAAAACATCAAAGGAGCCGTTACAGTGCTCGATAACAACTTCCAAGGACTAGCCGCCTCGTTCCTACCCCCCATAGCGTTGACTTATCCTCCACATTTCATAATCTATCGTAATATTTCTTCTAGTATTATAGCTATTATTTTATCCTAGTAATAAAATAGCATATACTAGCCTATTTAATAAAAATAAATACAAATAAATAAATAAATAGAAATTACATTACCTAAACACATTTGCATAATTTCAATCTATAAAAAAAAACTAAAAATAAAAATCCCTGAAAAATACGTAATAAAATCTTATAAACGATGACCAAAAACATTCAAAATGGCGTCAAAATTATACCGAGACTCGACCCTTCACTAAATAAGGCGAATTAAATATAAAATTAGGAGACCAAATTTACATACACAATTTTTTCCACATATTTTTGGGGCGTTAATTTCCTCCCTTGTCAAAATCTAATTACTGCCTCTGTGTAATTACGTTGTTTATGCACGTGACTACATTAGTTAGGTTGGGTTGGGTTAGGTTAGGTTGGGTTAGGTTAGGTTGGGTTAGGTTAGGTTGGGTTGAGAATAACAGACAGACAGACAGACAGACACAAACAAAAACAGCCAATCTTCACTACAACTCGTTCACTTAACACTTAAAAAAAATTTACTTACAAAAAAAACAAACATATTGTTAAGTACACACACACAGTCGATTCCATACGAAAATATTTACACAGTGATAGGTGGAAAAATGTGTGTGTGTGTGTGTGTGTGTGTGTGTGTGTGTGTGTGTGTGTGTGTGCACTAGCTATTTCGGCGTCGTTCTTATCACTGGTCAACTTTAACGTGATGTTGACCCGGGAGTCTCTCTCTCTCTCTCTCTCTCTCTCTCTCTCTCTCTCTCTGCTCGTACATCTGCCACAATGCTAAACCAGAATACCGAGGTAAAAAAATCATAATATTAACAGTTAAAATCCCCTTGCAGAGAGACGCTACAACCCTGCCAAACTAAACCTAACCTAACAACGTAACCTAACCTAGCCAAATCTAACTAAACCTAGCAAAATATAATGGTAGTGTGGAGTAAGGGTTGCAAGGTTAACTGTTACCTTCATAGTTATGGACACATGAACGGGTGGGGAGGGAGGGAGAGGGAGTGGGAGAGGGAGTGGGAGGGAGTGGGAGAGGGAGGGAGAGGGAGGGAGAGAGGGGGAGGGAGAGGGGAGGAGAGGGGGAGGGAGGGAGTGGGAGGGGGAGTGGGAGGGAGTGGGAGGGAGGGAGAGGAAAGGGGTTTGGTTCTATCACTCTCTCACTCTCTCTCTCATTTCCTTCTTTCTCTTTTTATTCTCTTCTCTTCCTTATACTCCTTCTTCACCCATTCCTCCTCTTCTTTCCACCACCTCCCACTCCCTCTCTGCATCCCACAATACAACCCACTTCTTCCCTCACTTCCCACTCCTTCCCTAACTTCCCACAATACAACCCACTCCTCCTCTCACTCCCCACTCCTTCCCCCACTCCCCACTCCTTCCCCCACTCCCACAACTCGGCCACAACACAACCTGGGAATGTCAATTTATTTCAATAGCACCAAAGCAAACTTCACTCAGATGGGACTTGCCTGCCCCTGGACGTACGTGTGTGTGTGTGTGTGTGTGTGTGTGGCTGGGATAAGCTCCAATAAAACAAAAGAACACTAACTCACCAGCCCCATTAAAGAAGCAATGAATTAATGTTTACACTTGTTTATAATTTACACAAGAGAGAGTTCCACCTACCATCACCTGAGGTCAAGTTAGAGAGGTCAAGCTGAGGTCAAGCTGGGTGAAAAGTATTGGCAAAGCAATTTTCAAACTGAGCTCAACAGGGCTTCAACCCCTCAATCAGCTGACTCCATGTTGGGTTGCCATGACGACAAGTTTGTAAACAAAATCAGCTGTCAGGTGAGTCACGCAGGTAAACACATCATCAGCTGACCGACAGGTAATGATAATGAAGATTTAAATACCTTTGTTTACACGTTTAACAACCCTTGTAAATTAACAAGTCTAATTACAAGTTTCCGTATACAACTAACAACCACAATTACTAAAATAACCACAATTATCATCTTTATAACTACCACTATCAACTACAGCAACCACTACTATTAACAACCACCATCACCACAACAATCACCACACCTACAACAAGCAACTCGGTCTACCACAACCCAACAATAACCACAATTATGAATCAACGGCTACCAACGCTACTACCACCATCACAACCACAATTACTCCCCCTCCCAACAACAACAACAATTACCACAACCATGCAACCAAAATTAAACTGAAGTCGATAATCACACCACAAACGAACGAGAGAGAGAGAGAGAGAGAGAGAGAGAGAGAGAGAAAGGAAAGTAGGGATAAATAAGGGACTAAAAATGGAAAAAAGGGGACGGGAGGGGAAACAGGAGAGGGGAAACACCATGAGACAGTTCAACAACTTTACTGACAAGATTAAGTCAACGAGTGAGAGAAGTTTCCCCTCACCCCCTAACAAGATCCTTCCTTCTTTCCCCTCCCTTTCCTCCTTTCCCTCTCCCTCCCTTTCTCTTCCACCTTCTTTCCTCCCCTTTATCCCCTTGTTTTCCTTCCCTCTTCCCTTTCCACAGTCTTCCTTCCCCTTTTCTCTTCTCCCTCCTCCTACCCTTTCCTTCCTCACCCCCTCCCACCCTCTCTTTCCCTCCCACCTCCTTCCTACCTTCCTCGTCTCCGCTACACAATAGCACAAAAACGCTGGACAATAGCACAAAAACGCTGGACAATAGCACAAAACGCTACATATAAGTTTAAAAAAGATACAGTACCTTAGCGGAAAAAAGGTAGTTTTAAGCGAGCAGGAGACGCTACAATTAAGCAGAAGCGTCAGCAGGTATGAGCTCTTCCACGTCTTGAGACTGAACTACGAGTGAGTGAGTGAGTGAGTGAGTGTGGGGAAGAAATGGTGTGGGAAGATGGGGAGGAAATGGTTGGGAGGAAGTGAATTGGGGAGCTAGAGAACGGTGGGGAGGATAAGGGGAATGGTGGGGAGGTTAAGGGGAATGGTAGGGAGGATATGGGTGGATAAATGGAGTGGGGAGATGGAGGGGAGAGGAGGCCAGGGTAGGGGATATGAAGGAGGAGGGCTATGGAAAGGAAGGAAGGAGGGCGAGGAATGAGGGTGAGAGGGAGGGAGGAAGGAGGGAAGAAAGGAAGAGGAAGGAAGGAAGGAGAAAGGAAGAAGGAAGAAAGGAAGAGGAAGGAGGAGAAAGGAAGGAGAAAGGAAGAAGGAAGGAAGGAAGGAGAAAGGAAGAAGGAAGGAGGAGAGGTGTGAGGGTCGGGAGGGATGACTGCCCCTCCTCCTCTTATATCGTGCTCAGGGTAATCAATATTTTGAACCATCTCCGTGTCGAGGAGGAGGAGGAGGAGGAGGAGGAATGTGAGGAGGTGGGAGGAGGAGGGAGAGGAGTGGGAGGAGAAGGAACAAGGAGGAGGAGGAGGAAAGAGAAATAGTCACATCAAAACAAAGGCTATATAATTTCCAGCCTTAACTACAGGTATAATAAGAGAGGTAGTGAAGTAAGGCCGAGAAGACCCTAACGACAAGGTACTCACCGAATTCCTTGATCTTCTTCCCGTAGTCGACGCCCCTGACAGGAGAAGACTGCCCCTCAGTAGGCAACAGTATGTGGGGAGGCCGGGGTCTGGTGTTAGCTGGCGGCGGCGTCCTGACCTCAACGCCTCCGTAACCCTGACCTCTACCGGAGGCTCCTGACCTCTCCGTCTCACCCACTGTCTGCTGCTGCGGCCGACGGTTCTGCTGTTGTGCTGTCCCGGCCCCGCTTACCCTGCCTCTGTTCCTCTGACGAAGGGGAGGCCCATCTTCCCGCTCACCAAGTACACCATAGCGTGAACCTCCCACTCCATCTGCGGTAGTGTGGGTGGAAGGTGTCCCCCCACCACCCCGGGACAGCTCTTCACCTGGAGGAGTAAGTTTAACACGGTCTACGTCAGCTTTGCCTCGGGTGTTTCCAATACTTCGGCCAGACTCAGAAGTTCCTTGTGGGAGAATTTTATGATGGGTGGGTTTAGCGGCGTTAAGTTTCTTGAATTCCGTATAGTCGAGGACCCCAGAGGGAGAGTGGGTGAGGGAGACGTAGGGGGGGTGAAAAAACTGAGCCGCTGCCTGGAGGGGGGCGGCGTATGGTGGATGGGGGCCTCGTGTACCCTGGGGCTGAGTGTTCGGGCCTCCAGGAAGCACATTCAGTGAGGCGTCCACAGACACGGGACCGAGCTCTGGCGGCGACGGGAGTGCACGGTGAGGACTCCTTGCTCCTCCAGGCACGTAATGAACGGGTCTCAAGCCTCTAACTTTGGTGTTTCTCGTTGTGTGACTCGATGGCCGCCCCTCACGCGCACCTGAGGCCACGGTGTCCCAAGGTACCCCCGAGGCAACGTCAGGTAGGAATTGATCTGATTGTGTGATAGGTGTTCCTCCATCCGGTACAAGGCCCGAGTGTGCGACTCTGATTGGCAAGTGTGTCGAGTCATGGCGGTGATGGGTGGGGTGGCGGGTCGTGTGTGGCAGTCTCCCCGCCTCGGCCACACCACCAATGTCATTCTCGCCCTCCACACCGTCATTCTCCTCCGTCTCTCTAACTTTCACAATGCCTTCAGAGGTCAGGCCATTTTCTTTGTACCCAGTTTCCTCCTGCTGGTGGCTTAAGGTCCTCTCGCCCTCTTCACTATTTACTATTTGCTGCCCTTTGTCTCTTTCCTCAAGTTTCTTATACTTATTTTTTTTATTCTTTCTTCGTTTTTCTGCTCCACCTTTGACTGTCTCCTCCTCCTCAAAACCAGTCGTTCGCTCTTTATCTTCACGTTCTCTTTCCTCCTCCGTCGTTAATACCGCTTTGTCTTCCTTCACTAACACGGCTTCTCCATTCTCCTCGGCTTCTACTGCCTCGCGGCGTGACTGGTGAAGTGCAGCCGTTCCCGACCACTCGTCCTCCCTGCCTGAATGATCATCAATGGTGGAGGAAAATTGTCCTTCCTCCTCCTTATCCACTTGCAATGAAGGAGTAATGGAGGAAGATGTCTCCAAGGACGGGAATGGCGGTGGTGTAGGCTGTGATGGAGACGCGGCAGGAGGCGGTGACGAGCTGTGAGGAACACCTGTGTGAGGGTGAAGATGTCTGGGTGTGAGGGTCGACCGTTCCTCACCTCCCACACTCCTAATCTTCCTGTCGTTTACTGGAGCATTTGGGGAAGTGTCGTGGAGCATGAGTGTGTTCACCACCTTGTCGTTGTCACCTGCTGCGAGCTCATCCTCCGTGACTCCCAAGGTTTTCTCCGTTTTTGCGTCCAACTGTAAGACTTGACGTTCCCCTCCGGCGATATCCACCAGGAAGTTGCCGGTGGAAGAGGAGGTGGAGAGGGGCGTCACCTCCTCCACTCTGACCTCCTCCATGACCCCTGTTCGGCGTAAATCCTCCCGCGACTTTTTGTTAGCGCCCGAAACTCCTCGCTCGGTTACCTGTGAGTTGGTTAATGTGTTCGCCAGGTTCTTGTCGTCGTCCGGATCCTCAGTCGTAACTCTGGCCGCGTCTTGCGCCTCGTCGTTGCCGGCGCCCGACACACTCATTTGTCGCCACTTTTTCCTTCCTTTACTTCCGCCGCCGAGCTGGTAGTCACGCCCTCCATGATCACCTTCATTTATTTGCCACAACTCCAATCCGCCTGCGGGATCCTCCCTCAGTAGCCTTGTATCCTTCTCTTCCTCCTCTTTGTGTTGCTTCATTCTCTCTAAATCGCCCTCGTCTTCCTTACCCCTGAGCAGAATTATTTCGTCCGAGCGAAACTCCATGAAATCTTGCGGAACTTTTGCCTCCCACTCATTACTCTGTGATCTGGCACGTTCTTCCCTGTCAGTGTACGCCCGCCTCGCCTCTTTGTCATCCACCTTATGGCGCCCAGTAAAGATTTCTTCTCGTGGTTGCAAGTTTCTACCACTATTTCCCGGATTCTCTCCCCGGGCGTCATTGTGTCGTGGTGGCAGGTACCCAGCGTCTACTTGTTGCACACGTCTTACATCTTCTCTTTCAAGCTGTGAGACCGTTTCTGCCGTCTCCTCCACCTGCCTCCAGCTCGGGTCTGGAAGGCTCACAACTGACCCGTCACCTTCCCCAACACGGGTGTGCCAAAGTCCGCCTCCCTCACTCTCCCCCGCCCCATATTGCCCCGATAAAATATTATGGTAGGGGGCGTGGTGTAACAGACGGTGGTGGTGGAGCGTGACCTTGGCTGAGGTTACTGGGGAGTGTTCCTGCGGGGCGGCGTCGTCCGTCATGGCTGCCGCCCCCCGGTCCCCCGCGCCTGAGTGACGGCCAACAACCTCCCGACGCTTATTGGTTTGGGCGGAAGACGGACGGTCCTCCTCCTTCATCTGGCGGTTCTGAGCGTCGCGGCGTTGGCGTGTCCGCGGTGATGCACGACCTCCCGCATGGTTCTTCTGCTGCCCCCCGCCACCACCACCCCCTTCCTGGACCTGACGGGACCCGCTGCCCGTCAACTTCACGCCGGGTAATGGCGGCGACCGGCTCACCTTTTTCTCGGGTGAGGATGGTGGCGTCCAGACGTCTTGCCGGACACCACGTTTTTGTCGGCCTTCAGGTTGTGTTCCCCTCAAGCCGTCACCCGTGTAGGGGGACTTACCTCTCCAGCGACGCTCCACCTCCCTGGCCCGGTCAACAAGGTCTGGCGTGAGGGGTCTCGGCAGCTTCTGAAGATCCCGTGGACTGAAGTGTTGAAGGCCGACAAGCTCCTCGGGGTCTATAGCGCCGAGGTACTCCGTGTACGACAGAGAGGAACTACCACCACTATCCCCGTGTTCATCCACCTGCGGCAGCGTCGTCCTCAGGATGGTCTTGTTGTACACCCTCAGGTAGTCACGAGGGCGAAGCAGGAACCCTTTCTCGGTCTGGTGTCGACGAAGTGCCCTCGTCAGCGTTAGTTCGGTCTCGTCAGTGTTGGCGGTGGTGAGGGACCTAGTGGTCTCCCCCAAGGACCCGACCTTGTACACCAGGGAGAGGCGCCACGAGTACTGCAGCACCTTCAGCTCCTCCGGCGTGCACGACATACACTCACTCTCAAACACCATCCTGCGGGCGGCGCCGTAGGGGAACGCAGACCTTATGTGACTCCTGATCCCGATACTGGAGGAGAGAAGAGAAAGTGTGTTTAGTTATCACCCCAACACACACACACACACACACACACACACACACACTAAACTGACGCCTAATTTCCATACAACAAAAAACACAAGTGCCAACACGGGCATTCACTATCGCCAGACGCTTCCACCCTCACGCCAGTAATTCGTCTCGTGGGGATAGATAAGAGGGAGAAAGAGGAGACCTTCCATGAACCAAAACTCAAGAGGAGTTCCCCTTTAAGAGTGAATGGAGATAGTGGAGACATAACACCCCAAGGAGACACAGAGATAATGTATTCATGGAGATAAAGATTGTCAACGTCATCCATGTATCCTCCCCACCACCACCCACATCTCCCCACCGCCACCCACATCCCACCTCCACCCCACATCCTCCCAACCGCCACCACATCCTCCCCACCTCCACCACATCCTACACTCCACATCCTCCCCCACTGCCACCTACATATCCTCCCCACCGCCACCCACATCCTCCCCACTGCCACCCACATCCTCCCACCCACTCCACATCCTCCCCACCGCTACCCACATCCTTCACCACCTACGCCCACGTCTCCAAAACCGCCCACCACCTCCCCACACCCTCCCCAACACCACCCACCGCCACCCACACCGCCCATATACTCTTCCCCAATGCAGTCAACAAACCCATCTCCCCCACCCACTTCCACCCATTCCTTCTATCTTCTCTTCCATGCTCCATATATTAACCCTCCCACCCACCACCCTCCCCATCCACCCCGTCCGCCCGCCCACCCCGCCCGCCCGCCCACAACGCAGGGAAACAGTTGGATAGTTTCCTCCTTGTCGGCCTGGTGAGTAAATAGGTTCATTCTTTCCACTGTCCGCCTCCATTACTCTTCCAGTCCAACACCATTCCACACACACACACACACACACACACCACGTTATGAAGCCTCTGTCTGGAAGCCTCCCTCAGATGAAGCCTCCCCTAGCCACGAAGCCTCCCCCAGCCACGAAGCTTCCCTAGCCACCTCAGCCTTCCCCCAGCCACACGCAGTCCTCCCCCCAGCCACGAAGCCATTCCCCAGCCACGAAGCCTCCCCTGCCCACGAAGCCTCCCCAGCCACGAAGCCTCCCAGCCACTTCCAGCCTCCCAGCCACCAGCTTCCTCCCCAGCCACGAGCTTCCTTAGCCACGAAGCATTCCCCTAGCTACCAGCTTCCCCAGCCACGAAGCCTCCCCTGCTAACAGCCTCCCTTAGCCACGAAGCCTCCCCAGCTACCTGAAGCCTTCCCTTAGCCACGAAGCCTCCTTTAGCCACGAAGCCTTCCCTTAGCCACTGTGCCTCCCCAGCCACTAGCTTCCTCCCCTTAGCCACGCAGCCTCCCTTAGCCATGTGCCTCCTCCCCCTAGCCACTAGCCTCCCTCCCCAGCCACGTGCCTCCCTAGCCACACTGGCTTCCTCCCAGCCACAGCTCCTCCCTTACACTGTGCTTCCCTTTGCTACGAAGCCTCCCCAGCCACCCAGCCTCCCCAGCCACGAAGCCTCCCCAGCACTGTGCCTCCCTAGCCAATAGCCTCCTCCCCACACGAAGCCTTCCCCAACCACGAAGCCTCCTTAGCCACAAAGCCTCCCTTAGCTAATACACGAGCCTCCCCTTAGCCACTTGAAGCCTCCCCAGCCACGAAGCTTCCTCCCTAGCCACGAAGCTTCCCTCACACGAAGCCTCCCCAGCCACGAAGCCTCCCCAGCCACGAAGCATTCCCTAGCCACGAAGCCTTCCCCTAGCCACCTGCTTCTTGCCACGAAGCCTTCCCTCACACGAAGCCTCCCCTAGCCACGAAGCCTTCCCTTAGCCACGAAGCCTTCCTTAGCCACGAAGCCTTCCCTTAGCCATAGCCTTCCTGCGACGAAGCCTCCCCTTAGCCACTAAGCCCTCCTTTAGCCACTTATGCTTCCCCCACACGAAGCCTCCCCCAGTTGACGAAGCCTTCCCCTTAGCCACGAAGCCTTCCTTTAGCCACGAAGCCTTCCCTTATTGCCCTCCCTAGCCACGAAGCCTTCCTTAGTTACGAAGCCCTAGCTATAACATTCACCCACCAACATTAACATTTACCATAACATACAGTACAATATAAACCCCATTCAACATTGAAGCAAATTAATGATCACCTGAAGAATAGACACCCCTAAGATTACCTGGGGGATCGGGAAGGTAGGGTAGGATAGCAGGGTAGGGGTAGGGAAGGGTAGGGTAGGGAAGGGTAGGGAAGGAGAGGTAGGGAAGGGAAGGGTAGGGTAGGGTAGGGAGAGGGAGGGTAGGGTAGGAAGGGAAGGTAGGGAAGGAAGGGAAGGGAAGGAAGGGAAGGAAGGGTAGGGTAGGAAGGGTAGGGAAGGCAGAAGGGAAGGAAGGGAAGGGTGGGGTAGAGTAGGGTAGGGTAGGGTAGGGTGAGGGCAGTAGGGGAGAGGTAGGGTAGGGTAGGGTAGGGGAAGGTGGAAGGAAGGAAGGGAAGGAAGGGAAGGGTAGGGTAGGGTAGGGAAGGGTAGGGTAGGGAAGGGAAGGGTAGGAAGGAAGGAAGGAAGGAAGGAAGGAAGGGTAGGGTAGGGAAGGGTAGGGTAGGGAAGGAAGGGTAGGGAAGGGAAGGGAAGGGAAGGTGGGGTAGAGTAGGGGTAGAGGTAGGGTAGGAAGTAGGATAGGACAGGGTAGGGTAGGGAAGGGAAGGGGAAGGGTAGGGGTAGGGTAGGAGGGAAGGTGGGGTAGAGTAGGGTAGGGTAGGGTAGGGTAGGATAGGATAGGTAGTAGGATAGGGAAGGGAAGGAAGGTAGGGTAGGGTAGGGAAGGGGTGGGGCAGAGAGGGGTAGGGTGAGTAGGGTAGGGTAGAAGGGAAGGGCAGGGTAGGGTAGGGAGAGGGTAGGGAGAGGGAGAGGGGTAGGGAAGGAAGGGAAGGAAGGAAGGGTAGGGTAGGGTAGTAGAGTAGGGTAGGGTAGGGGGAGGGAAGGGAAGGGAAGGGAAGGGTAGGGTAGGGTAGGGTAGGGTAGGAAGGAAGGGTGGGTAGAGAGGGTAGGGTAGGGTAGGGGTAGGGTAGGGTAGGGAAGGAAGGAAGGGTAGGGATAGGGAGGGAAGGGAAGGGTGGGGTAGAAGTAGGGTAGGGAAGGGGTAGGTAGGGTAGGATAGATAGGGTAGGGTAGGGAAGGGAAGGGAAGGAAGGGTAGGGTAGGGAAGGGAAGGGTGGGGTAGAGAGGGTAGGGTAGGGTAGGGTAGATAGATAGGGTAGGGTAGGATAGGGAAGGGAAGGGAGGTAGGGTAGGGTAGGGAAGGGTGGGGTAGGGTAGGCAGGGTAGGGTAGGGTAGGCAGGGTAGGGTAGGGTAGGTAGGGTAGGGTAGGGAGAGGGAGGAAGGAAGAAAGGAAGGGTAGGGTAGGTAGTAGGGCAGGGTAGGGTAGGGTAGGCAGGGTAGGGAAGGGAAGGAAGGGAAGGGTAGGGTAGGGTAGGGAGAGGGGAGGGAAGGGAAGGGGCAGAGTAGGTAGGAGAGGGTAGGGCAGGGTAGGGAGTAGGGAAGGAAGGAAGGGTGGGGGTAGAGAGGGGTAGGGTAGGGTAGGGTGAGGGGTAGGGTAGGGAAGGGAAGGAGAAGGGTGGGGGCAGAGAGGGTAGGTAGGGTAGGGTAGGGAAGGGCAGTGGGTAGGGTAGGGAGGGAAGGAAGGAAGGAAGGGTAGGGAAGGGTAGGGATGGGAAGGAAGGGTAGGGAGGGAGAGGCAGGGAAGGGCAGGGTAGGGAAGAAGCAAGGGAAGGAACGAAGGCAGGAAGGGAAGGGAATGGGGGCAAGGATAGGGCAGGGTAGGGTAGGTAGGGGTAGGGCAGGGAGGGCAGAGGGTAGGGTAGGATAGGAAGGGAAGGAAGGAACGAAGGGTATGAGGGTAGGGTAGGCAGGAAAGAGGACGGGAATGAAAGAAGGCAGGGCAGAGTAGAGGGAGAGGCAGAGGGTAGGAGAGAGGGAAGGGAAACAGGGAAGGAAGGAAGGGAGAGGGAAGAAAGGAAGGAGAGGGAAGGGTAGGGATGGAAGGGGATGGTATAGAGGGGTAGAGAGAGGGGAGAGGAGCAGGGTAGGGAAAGGAAGGGTGGGGTGGGGTAGAGCAGGGGTAGGGGCAGGGGAGGGGTAGGGTAGGCAGGGCAGGGCAGGGCAGGGAAGGAAGGGGAAGGAAGGTAGGGTAGGGTAGGGTAGGGATGGGAAGGAAGGGAAGGTAGGGCAGAGAGGGAGGGTAGGGTGGGTAGGAAGGGGGGGGAAGGGAGTAGGTAGGGGTAGGGTAGGGTAGGGCGGGGAAGGGTAGGGTAAGGTAGGGTAGAGTAGGGTAGGGTAGGGTAGGGGTAGGGAAGGAAGGGTGGAAGGTAGGGTAGGGAAGGGAAGGGAAGGGGTAGGGAAGGTAGGGATGGGAAGGGAATGGTAAGGCAGGGAGAGTAGGGTAGGGTAGGGTAGGTAGGGGTAGGGAAGGGTAGGGGAAGGAAGGAAGGGTAGGGAAGGGAAGGGAAGGTGGGGTGGGGTAGAGTAGGGTAGTAGGGGGGTAGGGGCAGGGTAGGGTAGGGTAGGGTAGGGTAGGTAGGTAGGTAGGAAGGGAAGAGGGAAGGGTAGGGTAGGTAGGGTAGGGGTAGGGTAGGGAAGGGAAGGGTAGGGAAGGGTAGGGTGGAAGGAAGGTAAGGTAGGTAGAGTAGGGTAGGGTAGGGGTAGGGTAGAGGAGGTAGGGAAGGAAGGGAAGGGTAGGGAAGGAAGGAAGGGGGGTGGGGTGTAGAGTAGGGTAGGGTAGGGGTAGGCAGGGTAGGGTAGGGTAGGGTAGGGTAGGATAGGGTAGGATAGGGTTAGATTAAGTTTGATTAAATTAAGTTAAAGATTAAGTTTGATTGGATTAGGTTAGGTTAACTTTGACCACATTTGACAAAATATTAGATCAGGTTAAAACTAGGGTGTCTAATCTTCAGGTGAGATAAACAGAGGATGATTAATATTCAGGTGATCCAGGTGACTTAATTACCCCCCCCCCCCACCACCAAGTACTTACTCATCTCTGGGTGTCTTTACAGCAACCATCTGTTGGTCAGTTGACGTCATGCGGTGGTGATGGCAGGAGACCTTGAACAGGAACCTCTCCGTCGGCGCCCTCAGAGACGAGACGGGGATGCTGATGGTCTCCACGAACTTCTTGTCGAGTTGGCTTAGCCTCACCCCCTCCTGCGAGCTACTGAAGGAGGGTGGGGTGACTCCTGATGGGGTTATATGAGGATGAGACCATATCGAGTAGGCTGGTCCCTTCTGTGAGGTACTGAAGGAGGGTATGGTATGTCCTGAAGGGGTAGAAGATCCATCCACATCCTCCTTTAGGTGATAGCTAGTGGTGTTAACTCCTGAAGGTGCTCCTGTGGTAGTAGTAGGATAGTGAGAGGTCCTATTATGCAGATTATCCCACATGTGGTAGAGATGCGAGAAGAACCCATCAACGACGCGGGTGGAGGCGGTGAAGGAGTCCCAGGGGTCAGGGTGAGAGAAGCAGGAATGGTCAGGGTGTCCCACGGGTTGACAATCCCACTTGAGGGTGTAGTTGGGTGTAGGAGTTGTTACTTCAACCCTGAGTGTGATGTTCGTCTGGCCGTCTACCTCCCTCTCCGTCCCGTCTATGAACACCACCCTGTACAGACACACATGTTATCTCACAATTCCTGTTAAATCTTCACTTATATACAATTAACGTGATATTCTTCATTATTATAACATGTTAAAACTAATATAACACCTAACCTAACCTGACCTGACCTGACCCGACCTAACCTAACCTGACCTGACCTCCTGAAGGGGAATATAACTACAGCAGAAGGGAAGGACCTACTTGAGACGGATAGCCACAAGACCGAAGGTGGTGTTGAAGGAGGCCTCGACAATAGTATCCCGTTCCTTAATAGTGAGCTGTGCTGTGTACACCCCATCCTGAAGGACACTTTCAGGAAGAAATTCTGAGGATATATTAGCATCCTGACCACCCTCATGTATCTTCCAGAAGGATAGGTCATAGATAGGATGAAGGAGTAAAGTGGGAGAGTTAAGGATGGGTTGACTAGAGCTAATAAGCACCTCCTTTCCATCCTCATTCCAAATCCTCCAACGGTACTCGGGGCCAGTTCCAGTAGAACATCTTCGTAGGAGTTCCGGTTCCACTAGTATATCCCGGGTGCCGTCAAACTGTTGAGAGAGAAATGATCTTTGTTAGTACCGGCACACACACACACACACACACACACACACACACACACACAACACATAAGATATACCAAGGTAGTGTGTTGACCAGGAGGAGAGTAGGTGGCTGGGGAGAGGAGGGGAGAGGAGGCAGGGGAGGAGGTAGGGAGAGAAGGTAGGGAGAGAAGGTGGGAGAGAGAAAGGAGATAGGAGACAGGAAGACGATAAGAGAAGTAAGGGAAGAGGAGGAAGAGGGAGAGAGAAGAAAGGGAGAGAGAGTGGGATTCACAGGAGGAGGGGCTGCCACTTGTCCGCGTCTGTACCTAGAGGGGAGGTGAGGGGAGGGTGGGGAGGAGGTGAAGGGGTGAGGGGAGGGTGAGGGAGGGTGGAGGGTGGGGAGGGAGGGTGGAGGTGAGGGAGGTGTGGAAGGTGAAGGAAAAAAATTTGTTAGGAGAGAATGAGAAGGGAGGAGAAAGAATTAAGGAGAGAGAGAGGAAGGAAGGAGAAGAAATAGGAGAGCAGGGAGCAAGATAAGGAAGGAAAAGAGGGAGGAGAGAAGACAAGGAAAGGAGGGGGAAGAGGAGATGGATGGAAGGGAAAAGGAAGGGGAGGGAAGAGGAAATAGAGGACGAACAGCGGCCGGAAGAGGAGGGAGGCGACGAGGGAGAGAGAGAGAGAGAGAGAGAGAGAGAGAGAGAGAGAGAGAGAGAGAGAGAGAGAGAGAGAGAGAGAGAGAGAGAGAGAGAGAGACCTACACACACCGTCACGTCTGCATGCTACCATCGCCACGCAGAAAGGTCACGCCTGTCACAGTCATGTCTCGTCACAACAAGCAGGGGGGGAATCTACTGACACCTTGTATGGAGTTAAGATGTCCCCACCCCCTCTTCCCTCCTCCTTCCCTCCCTCTTCCCATCCTCTCTCTCTCTCTTCCCCTGTCTCCCTTCCTTCCTCCCTCCCGTTCCACCATCCCTCCTTCCCTCCTTCCTCCATTTCCGCCAATCTCTCATTACCACACACTTAACCTATTCTCATGTTGACGTAACCACACCAACCACACACCCAATCATCCCAACCACACAACCACAAGGGATACTCAACCGTAACCACCACACGTAGCTACCACCATTACGCTCTCAACCACCATTACCCATGCAACCACCATAGCCACAATTCCAGGGTGCATGATACACTTACGCCACCACCATCGCTATTTCAAACTTAGATAACCACAATTTCAAGTTATGTTACACTATGACTACCACTATTAGCCAGTAACCACCATAACCACAATTCCAGGGATACTTGATACATTATAACCACCACCACTAAAAACCACCATCGATATTCCAACTTGCATAACCACAATTCCAACCAGCTAGTTATGCTACAAGACTATTACACGCTCTCTCTCTCTCTCTCTCTCTCTCTCTCTCTCTCTCTCTCTCTCTCTCTCTTTCCATGTTTCTCTATATATATATTTATCTCTCTCTCTCTTGCTCTTCTTTCATTATTTTCTTTATTTCTTCCTTCTTTCATTCCATCATTCGTCTATCCTCTTCTATTTCTTCCTCCCCCTCCCCTACCCACCTCCCCCACAACACACAGACTACACCACCCCCCTCCCCTCTACACCTCCCCACCCCCTCCCCTCTACACCCCCCACCCCCTCACCATCACAGATAAATCACCCATGACCTACACTTGATCTGGCGGGAGGGGAGGAGGAGGAGGGGCATCAAAGCTCCCAGAGCCCTAATGAACTCCTGGCCTACTGCTACCCCTGTGGTGAGCCTCCCAGTAGACACCATGGCAGACAGACAGACTCTGCTGTGTCCTCAACTCTGCTGGTGCTTGGTCCTCTCTCTGATTTATCTAATAACTTGTCTTGTCTAGCTTACTGGTAATTGGCCTCTTTGGGAGGGGTAGGAGGGGAGGGGTAGGGGAAGGGGAGAGGGGGAAGGGGGTAGGGGAGGGGTAGGGAGGGGTAGGGAGGGGAAGGGGTAGGGGAGGGGTAGGGAGGGGAAGGGGGGAGGAGGGGAAGGGGGTAGAGAGGGGGAGAGAGGGGAAGGGGGTAGGGGAGGAGAGAAATGGGGGAGAGTAAGGAGGAGAAGGGAGAGGGAAGGGGTGGTTGAAATGGGAGGTAAGGAGGTAAGCAGGAGGAGGAAGAGAGAGGGAATGGTAAGGGGAGGCTTAGGAAAGGAGGGGGAGGGAGGAGGAGAGAGGAAGGGAGAGAGATGAAGATTAAGGAGATGGTTGGGAAGGGTGGGAGAGAATTATGGAGGGGGAGGGAGTAGGGTTGGTTGGGAAGGGAGGGTAAGGAGGAGGGAGGAGGGTTATGGTGGAGGAAAGGGAGGTAAAATATGGAAGGGGAAAGGGAAGGGAGACTATTGGTGCACACACACACACACACACACACACACACACACACACACACACCAGCCCGCCTCACCATGTATAAATGATTCATACGAAGATGTGTATAATTTCAACTACTAAGACCATGTGTATGTGTATGAATTTACGTATACTTAACTGCACCGTGTATGTGTGTGTGTGTGTGTGTGTGTGTGTGTGTGTGTGTGTGTGTGTGTGTGTGTGCGCGCGCTTTAAGCATTTATTGTCGTATCTGGTGTGTTTGTATATGAGAGAGAGAGAGAGAGAGAGAGAGAGAGCTTAATCCCAACCAGAATCTCTCTAACAAATAAAACTTAAAAGGCTTAATAGACAAAGCTTAAAACAGTATCAATCATAAATCCAGCTTAAGTTGACAATATTTTACCCCCTTGGCAACACAACTCTGAACTAGTTGAAGGGGGCGAGTGATCGTTGAGTGGTACAAGTGCTTCATTATAGGGCTGAGGAAAGCCAGGCGGTGGTGAATGCCCGCGCTGGCGATGGTATTTTTGCTTATGAGTCTTATTATTGTTGTTGTTTGTTTGTTTTTGTTTTTTTAATTGTTTTTGTTTTTGTTTTTATAATTCCGGTGAAAATCTGAGTGTAAAGTAAAATCCGGGTTACAATACAGAGAAATCCTCAGTGTAAAGTCAATAAATCCGGGTTATGGTAAAAAGAAATCTGGTCAAAATCCGAGTGTCATGTTAATTCCGGTTTATAGTAAAATAAAAAAATAAAAAAATAAAATTGCTTGACCACCAGTTGACAACATTTTCCCGGGCGATATAAAGGGTTGGTATTGATTGGTTGCCGGTTTAAAGCTCACCTCCCATTGGGTGATTGTAAATACCTGTACCTGGGTGTGTTAAGTTTCCGGAGTGTACAGTAATGGCTATTGGGGGGGGTTACCATGTTGTAATAACGAGGTTTGTCATGTTATGGTGTTGTATTAACGAGGTCTATTATGAGAGAGAGAGAGAGAGAGAGAGAGAGAGAGAGAGAGAGAGAGAGAGAGAGAGAGAGAGAGAGAGAGAGAGAGAGAGAGAGAGAGAGAGCCCAATACATCACATCATAAATTATGGAGTGGGAGAGGTGGGAGAGGAAGACGAAGGAGAAGAGGATGGTGTGGAGGGGAGGGAGAGGGGGGTAATGGTGAAGAGAGGGGATGGGGTACGGTGTGGGAGGAGACAGAGGGAGAGAATGGTGCTGAGTGGGAGAGAGGGGAGGTTATGGAGTTTGGGGTGGTTGAATGGGGTGGAAGATGTGGGGAGAAGGGAGGAGGGGGAGAGAGGGGAGGAGGAGGAGGGGAGAGTGGTGGGGGTGATGGGGAGGAGGAGGGAGAGTGGTGGGGGGTGATGGGGAGGAGGAGGGAGAGTGGGGGGTGATGGGGAGGAGGAGGGAGAGTGGTGGGGGTGATGGGGAGGAGGGAGAGAGAGGGGGAGGAGGAGGAGAGTGGTGGGGGTGGATGGGGAGGAGGAGGAGGGGGGAGGAGGAGGGGAGAGGTAAGGAGGGGAGAATAAACATGGCAGTAAGGGAGAGAGAGAGAGAGTAAGGGGGGAGGAAAGAAAACTATTAGGGTGAGAAGGGAGGGTGTAAGGGTGTATAAAGGGTGTAAGGGGGGTGAGTATATAAGGGGAGGGGTCAGCTTCCATTTAACCCCTAATAGAACAAGTCAGGCCCGGGGTCACACCAAGGTCAATCCACCTGATATTAACATTTTCTAACATTATTAACATTCTACCTACATTATTAACATTTATCTAACATTATTAACATTTATCTAACATTATTAACATTCTACCTACATTATTAACATTTATCTAACATTATTAACATTTATCTAACATTATTAACATTCTACCTACATTATTAACATTTATCTAACATTATTAACATTCTACCTACATTATTAACATTTATCTAACATTATTAACATTTATCTAACATTATTAACATTTATCTAACATTATTAACATTCTACCTACATTATTAACATTTATCTAACATTATTAACATTTATCTAACATTATTAACAACTAAACCACTCACTATCAGTCTTGAATACGAATCAAAGTTTTATGATTCGTTTTAAACTTTTACGTACCTATTAAAAAGTTGCGTCTAGATTTATAAAAATGTAGTTTTATACACACATGCACACACGCAGTTACTTCACACACGCGCACGCAGTTACTCACACACGCACGCAGTTACTCACACACGCACGCAGTTACTCACACACACACGCAGTTACTCACACACACACGCAGTTACTCACTCGCGCACGCAGTTACTCACTCACGCACGCAGTTACTCACTCACGCACGCAGTTACTCACACACGCACGCAGTTACTCACTCTCCACGCACGCAGTTACCACACGCACGCAGTTACTCACACACGCACGCAGTTACTCACCACACACGCAGTTACTTCTGCACACACACGCAGTTATTTCTCACTTCACGCACGCAGTTATTTCCACTACGCACTATCTATATATGCCTATTTACACACATATACACATGGTGTCTGTCTACATACATACATACATACATACATACAACATACATACATACATACATACATACAACATACATACATAC